CAAATAGTCCAACTACCAAGCACAGTAGTCTGTCTGCAAGACGGGGCCTTCCGTCGGAACTATGTACTCCACACCATCATAGCCCCAGGGTGCAAATACTTTGCATGGGCTCTGGGTGTTTGAAGAATGCTACTCATTAGCACAGATTGGGGACCAAAGCGCGACAGTCAATCAGCTGGCGCCACAGGCGCAATTTCGACCGCGAGCCTTCGAGAAATGCAGCGCCTTGCAGCAGCTCAATTTCGAGAGAACAGAGTACGATCCTACCAATTTGAATCGTGACTTACCCGAGGGTTGCTTTTTCGAGGCTGGAATTGAGTCGTTATTCTTACCAGCTGATTTCAACTGGATGGGACCAGCGGCGTGTGAGCATTGTAAGAGGTTGCGATCAGTAGACATCTCGCAAACCAAAATCAGTGAGATCCTCGGAGGCACCTTTGCCCATTGCTCGCAGCTGCAACAGCTTCGGCTGGCCAAAGCAGTGAGGCGCATCGGGCGAGACGCCCTCCTGAATTGCACCTCCTTGGGTGAACTGCGTACCCCACCCACCTTGCTCTATATCGACAAACGAGCATTTGCTGGTTGCATACAGCTGCGTATGCTCATTAGAGTAGGAAGCAAAGCTACTTGGAGAGGGACGTACGCAGAGCACGATGCTTTCGAGTCGTGCAATCAGCTCGCACTCCAAAATGGATCCGGCTCCTCCCAAAGCCCGCTGGCAATCATGAGGAGTGGGCTGACTTCATGAGAAGCTGTACAGAAGCGAACTGCAGAGACACCTGACAACTCTGACGTGGCCATACACAGGTTCCGAGAAAGCCACGCACCTGCCGAACTGACACTGCTGACACTGCTACCAATCCTGAGTAGCTAGACAGTACCCAGGGCTGCCTCCCAAGGGGTGGTCTTGGAAGGATACATAGAGTACAGATGTACAGTTCCTACGATCCTCTATAGCGGCGTTTCACTGTTTCACGTAGTTCATGGGGCATGCATGTCTTCATCGCTCCAAGGGCACTCGAATCGCAATCTGAAGATGCTGAGCCTGACGAGGTGTGCCAACAGAGTCCTGCCTGCACACATGTCCTGAGTGCGACGCATTGTCGCGACGCATTGTCACGCTACTTCGTGCCTGTCGCTCCCGTTTGCCTTTTGGAGCCACGGTCATAGGGCGTACGACTGTCATCGCCTTCCCCCTGTGTGGGGGGGGGCCAAGGATGAGGGACCGTTCGTTCGAGTTCTTTATCCCATGCACTCTGCAGCTCATGGCCTTCGTAAGTTTGGCGCTTGGTTGCCCAATGTACCCTCTTCTCAACGGCAAGCTCTCAGTGCATTGAGGACCTTTCTCAAACGAATAGTGCTCTCCACAACGATTCCTTGGGATTTTGACCACAGTACAGTGACTCGGAGACAGAATGGATCACCCCCTGTCTCTGCTTGTCAAGCTGCTTGCATACGAAAGTTGGGAGCAGCAATGCAGATACAAGCTGATGCCGGAGTGTGCCAGTTTGAAGAAGCCAACTTGGAACGAACAGTAACTGCCGTATGCAATAGCGTGTTCTTTGAACTAAGTCACGCTTTGCCTTGCCGCCTAGCTATGGCCTGCAATGTTCCAAAACTCCAGCACAAGCTTGGGCACTCCTCATGCATATTTGCAAGCATCCACTTGTCATACAAGCACTCACTGCCCATAAAAGGAATCTTGCTACTTCTTGACCTTCCAGTACTGAGCGCTAGCAAAAGAACGAATTCATGGCCCCGTCTCACCTTTGTTTCACTATTGTTGCTTCGGCTTTGCTTGCCACGGTATGATACGAGCCTGGCTCCTTGTTTCCTTGTTTTGGGTTTGTGTCGGTTTTTTGGTTGTTTGGTTGGGTTTGTTCGGTGGTGCCTTGCTCTGATGCCTGGCTCGTATCTCCTCAGTGTCCCTATTTATATAATTCAATTAAGGTGACTTGTGCCTCTCGGCACACATAGCGCCTCCACCCGTGCAAAAAAAGTGTAAGCGTTGCTTTTGATGCTCTCCAAGTGCAATAGCTTGCGCAGCGTTCTGATCTCAGGACGCTTTGCTGCATTGAAGGAAGAACCTGCAATGAAGAGAGACAAAAAACGAGGAATGAAGGAAAGCAAAATCTCGCGGTCCAGCAGAACTGAGAGCCGGTGTTTAATTCGTAGCCCCTGTTTCACCTCATACTCTTTTGGTCTACATGACCGCTCGAGCTACATGCCAAGTTGCTGGTGTTGGTGTGGGGTGGGTTTGTTTGTTTGTTTGTTTGTTTGTTTGGTTTTGGGTTTTGTCGTTGTTTCCTTTGTCCTTGCAACCTGGCTAGTAACTCATCTTCACTAGCGCAAGATGACCTGTGCAACCTCTGCGCGCATGGCGTCTCCACCCGTGCAAAAAAAAGTCAGACCTCTTCAGAAGAAGATTGGACGAACAGAGATACAGTCAAACCGACTGTAACGTTTGGCTCAAGAGCGGGGTTCAAAAAAAGGGGGACGCTACTGCTTCCGTGTTTTCGCACGGTAGCGGAGCGCCGAGGATCCTAAGGGTGAGGGGGAGACGCTTTGTGAGAAAGGAGAACTGTGTGTAGGGTTTTCTCTGAGCCGTTTTTGTGAGCCATGGAGATTACGACTCCTACGAGTCCAGCTGTGACGCTTGCACCACCGGCTGAAGCCTCAAGTCCGCCTGGAGTGAGCCCTGGACCTCAGATGTTTCCAATCAGTCCAAGTCCAGAAGGTCAAGATCATACACGTGTGGCACCTAGTTCGTCTTTGGTTTCTTCTGTGGCGAATGCACCTGTTTTGAGTGTTGGACTGTCAGTCTTCACAGACTTTTGACCCTTTGCAAGCGAGAGATGCTTGGCAGAGTTGGCATTTTGGTCCTGGAAGCCAGCGAGATGTAACGCAGCAGTTCGTTCTTTGAATCCAATGAGTCAGCCTTATAGAGATTTTTCAGGCCATTCTGGAGATGGGGTGACTGCAGGTCAATCAGGAGACGGTGGTAGGTCTTGAGGGAGAAGAGAGGGAGAAGAGAGGGAGAAGAGAGGGAGAAGCGAGGGAGACGAGGGGGAGAAGAGAGGGAGAAGAGGGGGAGAAGAGGGGGAGAAGAGGGGGAGAAGAGGGGG